ACCCATTCTTTCCAGTGACATGCTGGGCTTTCATGGGATCCATATGCTTTATATTCTGAGTTGGGCCGAAATTTGTTTATGAAAGTTCACGAGTCAGATAAGCCCACTAGAGAGTTTTCCACCTCCCATTTTTTTTTGGGGTTAAAAGCAGGGCGAAAATGTTCTAGATCATCATATTAATAGAACGGGTCATGGTATTACCCATAACGTCATACAATAACCAGTGGTACAGGTGAGGGTCGCACACATCGAAATAATGGGTGCCAAAAGGAAGACAGTGACCCTTAGAAGCCAAAAAATCAGCAGAGTAGTTACACTCTCTAAAGACATGCTTCACTTCCACCTGTTAGTCACGAGTGAGCAGCTGCCCGATCTTGCTGGCAAACAAACCGTGCTGGTGATCATCATCCTGCCAATTCTTGATGATATTAATGGTTGTTTGAGAGTCAAGATTTGGTATTCCATCCAGATGTATTTGGTATTCCTTAGCAGTAGGGTTGTAAAACGATTCAGTCGGACTGCATCAAAATTATGGCAACTGCAGTTTAATAAAGAAAGATATCTTAGGATCAAGAACCAGGATAGCATTGCATTAAGTCCCACTTGATCCACTATAAATATCAATTCAATACATTTTTCTTCGGCATTTTACACAATTCATGGGGATCAAAAACCGAACCATAATATACTTGGTTTGTTATGGTCTGATCTAAGCTAAGCATCGATTTGGTGCGGTCCAATACGGACCAACCTGTTGCACAACCCTACTTAGGAGACAACTACATATTTGGGGGTACAATTATAACTGACGAGCCATCATCTTTTGTACCGAATAGTTGATTATCATTTCGTTATGTGTGATCGTACAAAGCGACAAAAGAATGGTCGTAGAGTGATAAGCTCGATCTATTTCCAAAGAAAAAGTGAACCTTAACTTTGAAATTAAAAAACGAGACAATCAACCACCATACCACACATTTTTTTTTAGATCGAGCATCGGATGCCATTAGTTCATTCCCAATTCACCAGCTATATATACATCTAACATCTTCAAGAACCGGAAATGCCCGACAATATGCGCATCCCAGCTGCTTCAGTTCTTAGCGGTCTGCATTCCTCCAAAACTGCCGTCTTTGGTAACAACTGATCTCCCCCTCACATGCTGTATATAAACCATATATATGTAGTTTCGTGGATATGACTCGATTCCTAGAAACATTAAGGCATGCAACAGAAAAGGCAACATCTTTTCTTGTCTTCCCTTCGACAGTGTATCATATGTTGTTTGTTGCTGCAGAGAATCATATTCCAGATTGGAGGATCAAAACCCCCAGAATTCACAATCACGTGTGCTATCAGCTAGCTAGCTCTCTTCCATCGTCTTAAACTACTCCCACACCCACCACTGAAATCTACGTAATGGATCTTATACCATTTACTAACCGTTGTAGACGCTGCTCTCTACTCGATTGCATTGGAAGGAGAAATCTGAAGAAAAAGCAGAGGATGGCGTTTCCCGACAATGTCAGAAACAGGGGAAAGGATCGTAGGAAGCCCCGAAAACTAGATCAACCGGGCTAATATATATCCATGAAAGGACGTGCATGGACGGACGGGAATGAAACTGAGACTTCAATTTGCTGGACGAATCATATCTTCATGCATATGGCCTTTAATCTGTTCCCTCTGTTTCACCTTTTCACTTTTCCTGCCTAAGAATCAAATCAACTTGCAAGATGGAATAAGAAGAAACCAAAACACTATATTCATGCAGTCAGGGGAACTCTAGGTTGTCGTGCTAACTTAAGTTTATATGCAAGGAAGTGATTAGGATCTATATATGGTTCTTTCCCAAAAATTTGAGTTAGTGGGATGGATCGTTTCTTTACATGTAATTAGAGCTGGTTTGATTGTAAGGTCAAGCGTTCAAAATCCTCACAATTAGGGATGGCAATTTTGCCCATATCCATGAGTTTTTTACTATCCACCCAATTGGGTTGGGTATGAAATCCAATTAGATGGATATCGGTAGATTTTGATGGATTTGTACCCATACCCATTTACTTGGGTTGTGTTAGGTTTATAACAAATGGATTTGGGTTTGCACCCATGTCCAAATGCAAATTACAGTTTGGTATTTAAACTTAATAGATATGCATATTTAGTACCTAAATTTATTTATTTTTGCATATAAGTCATCAAAATATCGATGGAAAATTACATTTTGGTACCTAAATATTTTGGTCTTACATTTTGGTACCTAAACTTTTCAAGTTTTACAAATAGGTCCAATTTTTGCAGTGTAGTTAAAACACCATCAAATAAATGGATATCCATATCCGACTCATACCCTTTTAGATTATGGAAGCAATACTCATACCTTACCCAAACCCATTTACAAACCCCCAAACCCATATGCACTTCACTCATAGCCAACCCATTATGAATGGATCTACTTGGGTTTGGGTATAATTACCCATGGGTGGGTAATTGTCATCCCTACGTACTCACAACCCCCCATAGTAATTGTTGTCTTAAACCCCATGTCATAAACCAACTGATTCCAAAATCGAACTCACGAGCTTGAAATTTGCACATGCCCGCCATACTGTATTCTTGAAGACAATGGTTAATGTGTAGGGGTGGTGAGGACTTGAACACGTGACCTCAAGGACAAATCAGTTCTAATACCATGTCATAAACCAACTGGTCCAATAACTCGAGTGGTTGAGGAGATGCCCCATGTATGATGTATGGTACTTAACCACTTCCTTACATGACATACCTATGCAAACTTCAAACCCATGAGTTGGCTTCTCACCTTGCTTAGCTCATTGTTGTTTCTTATATCTTCATCATTGTTTCCTTTCTTCCTTTTCCATTTGTTTTGTTGTTTTCTTTCTCGCCACGAGTCAATCCTTTCGGACCGTGCGGAACTTCTTATGTGTCGACTTCTTTCGATTTTGTTCTAGCAATATTTCTTCATCACTATTTTATATATATATAAAAGAAGAATCGATACATATATCTCTTCCAATAACTTAGAGTAACTTGTACCGATGGGTTCTTTTTCGACAATGATGATTGTATGCGATGATTAAAAAGTCTATATCCGTACATGTGAGGTCAGGTAACAATATTAGAATTGGCAGATGAGATTAATCCCCGTTTCACATTTACTCTGCTTAGTGGATAACGGGAAGCTAATTATAGGAAATCCGTGATGGAGGCTGATTAGATTTTAGTCTTTAGACATGCAAGAAATGGGCAGTTATGTTTATGAACACATTTGCTAGCTAGGTTTTGTTGTTTTCCCCGGCTGGCCGGCGGCTAGCAATAGCATGCATGTATTCTTCCGGCCGTATTCTACGCGTATAAGCTTTTTACTCCTCCACATTATTAGTCTTTCAAGGATATCATCATTGGCGTGCGTGCGTACGTTCCTTTTTCCGGAGAAAGAGTTGTCAAGTTCTTGTGATGGAAAGCAGAAATCCTTCTAATTCCCAAAACTGTTGGACAGGCTGGATGCTATGATATTTTAGTCGAAAGTGTTGTTTAGGAAGGATGCTAATGAGTTTGAGCTGTTCAGGAGCGAGTTGGTGTTCGACTCGGGGGAAAAATTGTTCGATTTGGAAAAAGATTAACTCGATTATTAACGAGAAATTTGAGTAAGACCTTGTTCACCAGCTTGCCAAATCAGCTCGACTCGGTAACTTGTTGATCAACTCGTCAACTGTCTTGTTTTGAGATCATGAAATGTCTCAATATTATGACTAGCGAGCCAACTTGATTGTCGGTTTATGAGAAAATAAATATATATCTTTTAATTAAATTGGTTTTTTTGATAATTCACATATTTGTTAATGATATATCTCACCCTATATGATGTTTGAGACTTTGAATATGTAAGCATATATGTCTCATTTATGATTTAAAAGATAAATTGTGAATCATAGATTTTTTAGATACTAATTACTATGAAATTACATTATATGAACTAGTTAAAATTGACGAACTAAAAAAATATGATACCAATAGAGTATATGAAGATAAGATCACTAAATCACATGTATCATACATGACATACAAATATTAGGGTATTTAATTTATAAATTATATTAGAGTTTAGTTTAAGGTTCAGTTATTTAAAATAAATGAGTTATGAATCCGCTAGACTAGACCTCATCAGACCAATATACGTTTGAACTTACAACGTACACGTGTAGTTACAGGCGTAAAAGCGAAATCTCATATGCTAGTCCACAGCTACAATGCATTCACTCCGTAACTATGACTACAAATGAGTCGAGCCGAGTTTTACTTGAATCGGGCATAACTTGTTAATAAACAAGTTAATGTTAAGCTCGACTCTTTTACTAAAATTTTCACTCGTATTTGAATCCGAAATCCGAAGCTCAACTCATTAATGAGCTCATGAGTTCTACTTGAACTTGCCAGCTCATAAGCTCAAAACAAACAAACTCATAAATTGAACTCCGCAAATCACCAAATCAAGTAGACTCACCACGAATCTCACGAGCTGAACAAAACTCAGATGAAACTCAATTGATTAGTCAAAGAATCGAGTTTCGAATGTGAATTTTCCGAGCCAAACACTGTACAACTCCCTGAAGAGCCAAACTAGTTTGCAGCTCCATAACAAAACGCGCCGGTTCTCCATCAACCTTCCCTGCACGAAATCGCTTCTTCTTTTTTTTTTTTTTTTTCAATTTTCCCGCGGCTGAAATCTCCTTCTGTACTTTCCAAGTACACCCAACATGGAAAATCTATAAAGAAAAAGAAAAGGAAAGAAGAAACGCAGAACTCTGTCCAATTCCCCCCACCAAATGGCTTTTCCTCTGCTTATAAATAACCTTCCCCACGACCTCCTCTGTTCTCCACACAACACCACAAACCCATTCCCCCCAATCATTTTCCTGTGTAATATCTCCACCCCTCTAGTTCATGCGAGTTCCGCTACAGCAGCCATGGAGATAACGGCAAAATCTAACAGGCTGCAGGGGCTCAAGGAAATGCCGGCGGCGGTCAAGAACAAGATCGCTGGCTTCATGAATAGCTTGATCGAGCTCGCCAGAGACGACCCAAGAAGAGTGATTCATTCACTCAAAGTTGGAATAGCCCTCTCTTTCGTCTCTGTTTTCTACTACTACCAGCCGCTCTACGACGATTTCGGCGTCTCCGCAATGTGGGCTGTCATGACCGTCGTCGTCGTCTCTGAATTCTCCGTCGGTAATATATTCGTTTACCCCGATACAAGGAGATGTTAGTGTTGGAGATTTGTAATGGAGAAATTTCTGAATTTGTTTTTTCAGGGGCGACTCTGGGGAAAGGGCTGAACAGGGGAATGGCGACCCTGCTCGCTGGAGCGCTAGGGATTGGAGCCCATCACGTCGCGAATCAATTTGGGCATGCGGGAGAGCCCTTTGTTATTGGGTTCTTCGTTTTTATGTTGGGTACGAACTGTTTGTGAAAATGCCCCAATGAAAACTGACCCCCTCAAGAAGTTCTGAACTAATTAAATGGCTGTGTTTTAACGTGAACCAGCGGCGGTGACGACGTTTGTGAGGTTCATTCCAGGGGTGAAGGCGAGATACGACTATGGACTCTTGATCTTCATCTTGACCTTCTCTTTCGTTTCGGTTTCTGGCTACCGTGACGACGAGATACTGGATGTGGCGCAGAAGAGGGTTTCGACGATCATGATTGGCGCATCTGTATGTGTCATCGTCTCCATTGCTCTGTTTCCTGTTTGGGCTGGTGAGGATCTTCACTACCTCATAGCTCTCAACTTGGAAAAGCTTGGTAACTTTCTTGAAGGTATAACACGATCGATCTCTAAACGAAATTTAGCTCAAGACCCAGAAAGAGATTTTGCATATTCAGCAAGAAAAATGAAAGCTTTTCTTTCTTTTGGGATGCTTTTACAGGATTTGGAGATGAGTACTTTCAGGATCAAGAGTCCAAAACAGAGGATTTAGCCTCGACACTGCAAGATTACAGGAGCATTCTCAACTCCAAGAACACTGAAGAATCTTTGGTATGTAATTTTCATTTTGAATCAAACTCACCAACTCATTATACTCTATGGACTATGTGATTGGACTAAAAAAATGCCACGGTTTCAGGCCAATTTTGCAAGATGGGAACCATGCCACGGAAGGTTCCAATTTCGCCATCCATGGAAACTCTACCTCCAAATCGGCACTCTGGCTCGCCAATGCGCCTACAGGATCGAAGCGCTCAACCGCTACCTCACCGCCGAAATCCAGACGCCGGTTTCAGTCAGGGCCAAGATCAAGGAACCAGGAACCAAAATGAGCAGAGAATGCGGCAGGGCACTGAAAGAGATGTCGACAGCAATCAAGGCAATGTGCCAGCCCTGTGCATCCGATGTCCACATCGAGGCTTCGAAAGCCGCGGCCAAAGGGCTCAATTCACTGCTGAAATCGGGCATATGGGAAGGCATTGATCTGCTTCAGGTGACGCCGGTGGCCACGGTGGCTTCCTTGTTGATCGACGTGGTGAATTGCACTGAGAAAATTGCTGATGCTGTTGCCGAGCTTGCTTCCAAGGCAGAGTTCAAGAGGTTGAGTGATGGTGCTCCCTCGCCGGAGAAATTGGTACGGCGGGGTCATGTTGCCATTACGGTTGAGGAGTCTAATATGAACAATCGAGCGTCGGACGAGTGAGGACGGTTTGTAGATGCAACAAGAATAATAAATAGTATAGAGTAACATGAACATGATTTGCTTGATGTCCAAAGGTGAGTTATGTGATAAAAAGGCTTTGGATCATGATGGCAATGATATTTGACATGGTTGTGTTGTAACGTAAATAACGATGTAGTAATATTTGTACTAGAATATTTTTCTTCGGAGAAACGATGGTGATTAAATTTCGGTTATATTGTCATCCACTTTATTATGATAAAAAGTAAAGTTTTATCACAACAAACATACGATATATTAGATTATTGTTAAACTATGAATATAGAATGGAAAATGGTTGCATAGTTTAACCTCAACCAAGAATTTATAAAAATGAGAAGACGCGATACATTTTGCAATAACGTGGATGATTTTATGTGTCAATTCGTACCAAGAATTATAGATTTAGAAAAGATATGTGTTCGTCCAACATAGAAAAACAACGAAAAAATAGTGTTAACCGGCTATAAAAGGATATAGCAATACATATAGAGTAAACTCGTCAAGAATATGATAGAAATCTCTCTATATAAAAACGTGTGTGAAATCATGATATAACAAAATGGAGATCTCCATTAATAAGTGTACGAAAATGATGGAGTTATAGCTCATACTTCTTCTCCAGTTTGCTTGAGGCAGGCAATATGTTTTTGGCTGTTTCTCTCTTCATAAGTTGTTGAAAAACAGAATGCCTTGTGTTGATGAATAACTTGGTAAAACTTAATGCTAATTACCTTCTAACAGAGTCGGCATTTAAATGCATGTTTTTTCTATGAATAGGATTCAAATGTGAAATTTAAGATGGATTGAACATTTTTCATTCACATTGTGATTATAGCAACTCTTGACAATTACACTACATGGTTGCATATGTAAGCTTAACTTATGGTTAATATATAGAGGGTTTCTTGTCGAATTTACCAGACTGTTTGATGTGATTTACTGACGTTTTGCTAGAAGTACTGGACCGACCATAACCTTAACCAAATTACTTATTATGTGGTTGTTAAGTATGTGCTTTAAACTAAACTCGTATCAATAACTCAAATAGCCGGGAAATTTTCCAAAAATTTGGATATCATGTAAGTCCTCATCTCGTAAGCATATATTCGATTCACATGCATTAAAAGTTCAGAATTGTATGCATTTGATGGTTCATTCATATGCATATAATATGTTGCTTGGATTTTTGTGAATTCGGTACTAGGTTGGAATGCTTTTGATGCCATAATCATTATCAGTTTGATACTTAACTTGTTTAATTGGATATGAAATTCATATGCATCACGATCTAATTTATAAACAACGTTTACATAGAATCGACGAGGATAAAATTGAGATGAAAAGAACCAAAATTCGTAATGCTTTAACATTTTCAATAAAGAAAGAGTAGAGAGGGAAGATGGTGGAGATCATGAGAAACAAGTTTGGTAAGATATGAGAGGATATAGGAAGTTATATTTAAATGGGTTAACCCTATTTAAATTGTTAACCGCAACTTTTTACCCTATGTTCCTATATCAATGTGAACCCTCTCATCTATCTCGAACAAACCCTAATAATAAGTAATTATGAGATGGGGATGTCTCAGCCATGGGTTTAGGCACCTAATTTTATCACTTTCGTGTGCCTAATACAAAGTTTAGATATACATATTAGTACTCTTATGTCCTTAGAGAAACTCAACCTAAAACTTACACTTTGTTTAGGTACTTTAGTGAGTGCCCTAGCTAGTCGGCGAAATTGCTTGGACATTCAGTAAGTTCTCTAAACTGGAAAAAAGTGGGCTGGTGGAGAGTGCAAACTAACCACAGAAAAATGAACTTGAAGGCAAAAAGAAGAAGAAGGGCAAGTGGTGAAGAGATTAAAGCATGGGAAAGAGACAACATGGTGGTGGGGCTTGAGTTGTTTCCCACTATGATCGTAAGGACTGAAAATGAAAGAAGTATAAAGAAGAGTTTGAAGACAAAGTTTTGGCATGTTGTTGATAGGTACAAGAAGCTAAGGATGGTGCTAGGGTTCTTATAGGGTAGGCAAATTGGATTATGTTGCATGATTTGTGATCTCGATTATTAGAAATATGTAGGTCAATGTTTCATGTTATCTTGTGCATTTCACGATTGAGATCACTAGAGTTGTTGATGTCAATCCATATGGATTGCAGCTCATATCAACATATTAAGTAGATAGAAAAGGAGAGGAAAAGTTTTAACGTCTTACTGATAAGTATAACGGGATTTTGTTAGGGTTTTCATAGGGTAGGCATCGTAGAGGGTGATATGTTGAATGATTCTATTTGTGCTCTTGACTATCAGAAGTATGCATATTGATTTTCAGTATATATATTTTTTTTGTGAATGAGGAACTTCATTACCAACAAAAAAAAAACATGAGAAAATACAACAAAACGAATTCATAGACAAGTACATGAGAACGAAAACCCAAAAAAGAAGTCGGGCAAAGCAACCAGAACTCAAAGAGAACAAACAAAGACTAGTATGCGAACTCCCAAGACTGGAAACGAAGTGCTTGACTTTCATAGTTATTTTGTACGTATAATAATTGAGATCCTACAATGATTCGTTAGTAGCGGTTCATATTAACTAGATAGAAAGAAGAAAAAGTGAGAAATAAATAAGCATTAAAACTCTTGATTTTTTTTAATGATGTAAATGTGAGAGCATATATCATCAACTTTTCATGAATATTCCACCCCACTTATCATAGTAAAGATCCACTTACATATCCATCTTTCTTATAGCCTTTGACTTGTTGTGCTTATCAGGCACTATTTTATTTTTCAAGGGCACCTTGTAACCCTTCTTTTGTGTGTTCACTTTACTTAATTTCCTGCTCATTAATTCTCTTTTTCTCTTTTAATAAGGTGGAACATGCTAACCATCATTATCATCATGGATCGAATATTCACTTTAATTAATTCAGTTTACGTGGAACTGAAGTCAGCAGATAGCACTAACCTAACATTTTGGTGATGATTCATTCTCTTCAAAACAATATTATAGTTCATGTTTACGTAGATTTAAAAAAAAACAAATATTTTAATGAAACAAGCTTTATAAACAAATGTTAATAGTAGACAACAAATTCCACTTTAATTCTTTGACATAACTCACTTGTGTTGGGAATGATATGTTATGTTTGATTTTTTTCATACATTTATCTGGTGATTGAGTCTCCCATGGCTAACAATATATGTTAAGCCACCCTTTTGTGCTTAAAAAAACAAGACAAAATCATGATCTTCTACGATTTTGACCCAAATGTTTGAGATGTTATCTATGAAGAATTAAAGCGTTCCAATAATTTGATTCACCTTAAAACACTCAAGATGTTATCTATAAATAAAGGAACAAAACTGAAAGAACTACTGGTTCCATCAAATTCCTCTACAAAACCAGATCAGGCAAACGAAATGCAACAGAATTTTCCAAGGAATCCGACTCAGTAAGACACCACAGGCAACCAATGTTCACCACCCAACCAGTAGAAGCTTCAGAAGAGCCATACGAATATAGAGCCCGTTCTTGGCTTGTCTGAAATACGCAGCTCTAGGATCCAAATCGACATCCACAGTTATCTACATTCCAAACGAAGATTAGATCATCGTCGGCATTAACAAGGAACATGACAGCAGTTATCTACATTCCAAACGAAGATTGTATCATGACCAAAAAGTTCCCAACAGTAATCAGATCATTTGCATTTACCTCGTCAAGCCGTGGGAGAGGGTGCATGACAACAGCATGCTTCTGCATCACATCCAGCACATCACTGTCTACTATATACTTCCCACGAGCTTCTTCATAGAGATCAGTTCTCTCTCCAAAGCGTTCTTTCTGAATTCGAGTTTGATACACGACGTCACATTTGGATGCCACGTCGATTAAGTCGGCGCTCTCTTCCCATTCTACCCCCTCGGATGTTAGATAATCCTTTATGTCGTCCTGAGTAGGGTTTTCAGGTCGAGACAACAAAAATCCAGAGATCAATCATTCTACCTATATAATACTGCGAAGTGCTTTTAAATCACTTTCTCCTATATATAAAAAATCACTTTCAAGTTCAGTGACATCAATGGTTCTGTTACCTTCATCTTCACCACCTCGGGGGAGACAAAATAGATCTTCACGTCTTTAAATTTTGCAAGTAAATATGCAAGTGATCGAACTGTCCTTCCGTTAGCAAGATCTCCCACAAGTGCCACTTTGATACCATCCAATTTGCCGATCTCTCTGTCAATAGTGTAGATATCCAAAAGGGCCTGTGTAGTACTGATAAAGCTTCAGACTTAATCAAGCATGAATTTTTGCAAGTACTAAGTTCAGAGATTTTGATAGTAACTTCAAGCAAACCCTCAACTATGGAATACAATCAATTTTTCTACCATTAAGTACACCTGAAGTAGAATAGTTGTGAAGCAACACTCTGTCAAATTATACATCAAGTATGACAACATCATCGCCAGCATGATATCTGAGTATCTGTTTAATCTGTTTCTTTTAGGACTTTATATATATATACTATTAAACATGTCTCTGCTGAGTAAAACACACGCATGGATTGATTCCCATAGACAAGTTCTTACATGTGAAGAAAACAACAAAAGCACACATGCAAAAAAAACCTGGGTAGGATGCTGTCCAGGACCATCCCCTGCATTGATGACCGGAATGCTAGCTGTTGCAGCTGCTCTCCTCGTAGCACCACTTTCAAAATGACGCAGCACAATGATATCCGAATACCCTTCAACCGTCCGAATCGTATCTGGAGATATCAAATTCCCGCGCCATAAGTTATCACCAATGCAACCAAAAGCTCAGCTAAAAGATGAACCACACAGTTGTAATGTTACCTTCAAGTGTCTCCCCCTTGGCAGCCGAAGAAAACTCTCTGGCATTCTCGGTCGTCAAAACTTCCCCACCGAGCCTCTTCATCGCACATTCAAAAGACAGCCGGGTACGAGTAGAAGGCTCGTAAAAAAGGGTAGCCATAATAAACCCCTTGAGAATTTGGCTTCCGGATGGATTCATCTCAATCTCTTCCATCTCCCTAGCAACTTCAAATATAGCATTGAGAGTATCTCTA